TTTTTCAAAAATATTGTAAAGAATTTTTTTTATTTGAGCCCCCTCATTTCGAACAAAATTTAAGTTGGCTCTGAACTTGCTGATCTAACTCAGCTGATTAAAATTTAATTGCTTAAAATCATTCGATTTGTTTCTTAGGATAAAACTATTTTCATCCCTGAACCTCGCTACGAAGCCAAGGTTGTCCATTCAATAGGAGAGCAATGAAAAAAAAAACACAAAACAAAAAACACAAAGTATCAACTTTCACATAAAATTCATAGAATAACAGTCAGAAAATTACTAAAATTGCTTTTTGAAAATCATGTCAGGTAGTAGGAGTGAGGCTTCATTATCAAAGATGATTGGCTTAACTTTCACGAAAATCGATCGATTATGGACGTGACCAGAAAGTCCAAAGGACAAATTCCTGAAATTCAAAATTCAACATGTAGCAACCTGCAAAAATCACAACTATAAATATTCATCGTGGTCAACGTTTGAAAATCAGAAGATACCCACAACCACTGCAATCATTCAAACACCTCTAAACAGCTAAACTGCAAGAAATATGTACTGCTTGAGATGATTGGTGGAATACTTGAGAAAACAAGCCAAGAACTGTGAAAAAACAAAGATAGAAGTGATTTCCTGGAAATCTACAAAGAAAGGTCAGGCAAAGCTTGAAACCTCTAACCTTAAATATTCTCAGGTATGAACATGTTTACACGTGTACTATTTATAATAACCCGGGGGTGGGGGGGGGGGGGGGGGACTCAACAAAGTTTTATCAGGGAAGGCTCCGCCCCGAAGTTATTTTTCGTAGAAAAGGCGTTACCCCTGTCGTATACCTTCTATTGACCAATGGTAAACCTTTCACATACTTGGTTCAGACCTTCACATCTCTTTTAACCCTTACCGCCGACATTTTTCACAGTCATTAAATGGATCGGTTAGCCCTTTTGGGCCTTTTTACAGACCGAAGTGACAGATTTCCCGTACCATTTCATATACTTCAACTAGTGAAACCCAGAGTGGAATCCGTAACCTTTCATATACCTGAACCCTGAAAAAGGTACCTCTTTCGAGCGGAGCCTTATAGGCCATTACAGGAATTAGCCAGCCCCCCGGTGTGCTACTGCTGCTGCTCCTGGTATTTTGTCCACCAGCTTATCCTTCTATCGATCTTCTAGTACTTCCCAATCCAGTCATCCAATAATTCAATGATCGTGTTAAATATAAAATGAAGAAAACCACTATTCAAGAAGCTTTATTTAGAAGTTGCTGAAGTTTTTATGACACTCGGATTAATCAAAGTAGGGCTCGAGAAGAGCCTTGAACATGATTTCCCTCTGGTTTCAAATGGTTTTGTTGGACTTATACACCTTAGAACCAACAAGCTAGCTGATATCGTCCTTGAAATCTCCTAAATATGTGCTTCCCACGAGGGAGTTTCATCAACTGAGATTCCATGGGATTTGGAGAAACGAATTAAATACAAATCACATACGAATCACCTGTTTCGCACTGAATTCATGACAGCAGGAAATATCTTTTGATCACAAGTTAAATTAGCTGGAACAAAAGCACATCTGCCGGAAATAATTCTTCAGAATACACTGATTAAGATCAAATGTAAATCCAAGCTCAAACTTTCATTGCTTGCATTTTCGCACGCAGTTCAAGAGTTCCAATACTTTAATACCCAGGGCGCATTTATAACTCTTCCTTGATAAATTTTTTATTGCGTTCGAGGCCAGGAGAGCGAAACCTGAACTCAACCCGCGAGAAGCCTGGGCACGAACATTGGGCAGAAGTAAGTGCCAGAGACGGAAATACGTCATTAAGACCTCAGACGTCTCGTTCTCGCTTCTTTAGATCACGAGCGCTTCAGAGAATAAAACAAACGTTTTTAGAAATGCTACGGGGCAAATTGAAAACGCTTCGTTCGAATAATTTGCAGTTAAAACGACAACAAAAATCGACCGGAAATATTGTTGGATTGCAGAACTAAGAATCTCGATATAACGAACCTCTTTTATATAGGTCTATATAACAAGGCTCGGTATAACGAACGATTTTCTTTACCAAATTCAAAATATATGAAAAGGAACCTCGATATGACGAAACTTCGTTATAGCAAACGCATTTTGCCAGTCTCTTGGCCCTTCGTTATTACGAGGTTCCACTGTATTCGGTGAGTCGGTGGGTGAACGCCGAGTCGCAATAAAAGAGTTATTTCAAACTAAACTCACGGAAAAAAATTGTCGTGTTTCAAGAAAAATCCTTAAAGGTAATTTTAGTCTGAGACTATGATAAATGATCGCGAGTTTTTGGGTTCGACATTTTTGATTCCTGGATTTATTTGGGTAGGAAAATTTGGCGAGTATTTTTTAGGGTGAATTGATTTAAGTAGGGATTTTTTGAGGGTATTCAAACAATCTGAAGATTCGTGGCCGCGTAGTTCTCCCAATAAAGTACAACCAAACTTGGCCTTCGGAAATTTGGGGGTTAATATTTGGTCCAGGGATCTTTTTAGGTTTTGTTGGAAGCCCTGGGGATTTTTTTGGGGGTTTGATTTTTGCCCCCATTCAATCATCCCCTTCATTTGAAATCTGGAGTACCATCGCCACTCCCACTCCCCCCCCCCCCTTCCCCCCGGGTTATGGGCACACTTCCCCCCCTTCAAGGGAACCCGGTTCCCGAAAGCGGGGAAAATTTGGCTTGCGGAATCGGGAGCCTTGGGTTTTGGGACCCGAAATACATCACAGGGACGTGGAATCCCCACAGGCTTGGGAATCACGAACAAACATTTTT